GTTCAGGACCTTGCACTCGGCCTTGTATAATGTTAGAGAGCACATCCCTGTTTGTCCTATTTTTTTATTCTTTTTTTCTAGGCCTGAGTTTATCTAATACATTTTTAAAAGTGCTGATTCTGTCTGCCTTCACAGATACTTTTGACCAGAAATTCCAAGAGTACAATATCTGCTAGTTTCAGTAAGGGCTTCCTAATAGTGTTGGACTGATTATAAACAGTTCTGTCGTCACCCTGCTCGCTGCTTTCCTGATAATTGGGTAGTAATACCATATTTTTGCATGTTTTCCTCTTCGTTTCTATCACCAATAACTTTTTTCTTTGACTGCAGTAAAAAAATTGACCAACAAACTCCCAGATCTGTTCAGCAAGATCGAGAGTATCAACCAACAGCTGATGCCAATAAGCAACATCTCTGAGAATGTACACCGCATAAGAGAGCTGATTCAGCAGGCAAGAGATGCTGCAAATAAGGTCTGTCCTGAATATTGCATTCATGCTTGACCTCAGTGGTTTGGACACAGAGCAGTACTTTTGTTCCTCTTTATAAATCATTTTGTTGAAATGTCTATGAAATACCAGACAAATTTAATTCAACAGCACCACCCAGCACTTAAAGTAACTGTGATGATGGGAAGCATAATTTGTACATAAAAATGAGTGGGTGCAGTAGCATCCTGCTCCATCTTCCTCCCATAGAGTTTTTTTCTAGGGCATCTCTGCAATAATTACTTGTACGACAGCCTCTTTCCTTCTAAGGTATGTTTTGTTGGCTTTGGAAGCAGGGGTAGAGTTGGCCCTGCAGCTTGGGGGCAGGGCTCTCCACCTGTGCATTGCTGGTTGAACGCTGGCACCACCGAAAAACTTGTGTAGCCTTGTGCTGTCACGTCTCCAGCTGCCCCACCACGTTAGGAGCTGGCTACTGCAATCTTATTAGAAGCCTTTTTCTCCCATTTCAGCAACTGCTGTAGTTGCTCCAGGGAAAGCGTGGTCTCAGGTCCCTGCCAAACATCCCTGAGGTCACAACAAATAACCTACAGTAACAATGAGTAAGAGAAATCTGTGACCATGGTGTAAATAGCTGTTAGAGGACATGTCTTGGTTAACGTCAGAGGTGCACTATCGTTTCCAACAGACAGTCAAGTCCAGCTAAGTGAAACGTCAGGTTATGTATGTAGACATCTAAATAACGTATAGGCTTGCTCTTTAGAGATGCAGGGCACATCCTTCCCTGTTTGTGTGTTGAAGGCAACAATTACTTGACAGAGGCACGGTAAGGGTTTTCAAATTCATGTCTGGAGTGAAAAAGTGCTGTGTTAAGTGATAAGTATTGATAATACACAACGCGGTGTTATCCAGTCTCTTTCCTAATCATAGTGTTGGTAGAATTGGAGTCTAAATTCGTAGAAATCAATGGCTGTACATGACTAGGATATGTAATAGGTTACTTTGCAATAAAACACAACAGTGAAGTAAGTAGGAGTAGTATCAACAGACAATCATAAAGTACTGAATTTTGTTTTTCTTAACAGGTTGCTATTCCTATGAGGTTCAACGGCAGCTCTGGTGTAGAGGTTCGACCTCCGAGCAACCTTGAAGATCTGAAAGGCTATACCTCACTTTCTTTCTTTCTCCAAAGACCTCAGACAAAATTAGACACTACCCAGAGAGCATCAAATAAGTTTGTGCTGTACCTGGGTAATAAAGATGTAGGTATATTTTGAGATTTAATATGATTTGTAGAACAGACAAACGCTTTGAGAAACGGATGGCAGATGATTTATTTTGACTGAAGTTGGCCCGTTTCTTTATAATTGCCCTTATGTGGTGGCAGAAGTGTTTTTGTGAAGAGTAGTTCATTCCTCCACCGGCAGAGTAACCTGTTGGGTCGCTGACTGCTTTGCCCTTTGATGCTTTGCTGTTTTGCTCCTTTGGAAGTTACTTCTGTCATGGATACCATCGTACAGTCTTTGACAGAAGTGTCAGGTTCTGCAGCAGTCAGCACGAACTCAGCCCAACTCCTGCCTCAGATCTTTGACTCTTTTCACAGTATAAGTCACTGAGTTTCTCTGGTTTTTAAAAAAAAAAAAAAGTGATCATTTCAGTTTTAAAATTCAGTCCCTCAGCTCTCAGTTTCTTTCTCTTCTGAATATGCAGAACGGTAGAGACCTGCTTTTGCATTCAGGCTTGCTCAAGCACCATCAAACGTTTTAAAATTTTCCTGCATGCGGTTCCTAACACTGGAGTTTACCTTTCTGTCCCCTGAATATCTGGCCGGGATATCTGTTGACAGCATTTTATTTGTTATTTGTGAAATACAGTATGGTGGAGAAATAAAATGTGAATTGGTTGGGGAAATGACTGCTTCCAGTCACCTCAGTAGGAACCATTGTCCTTGACCGAGTGCTGTTCCAAACATCTTTTATTTCACAGGTGCTGAGTCTGATTTTTAGCAAAGGTATCATGTTTTTATGGCTTTAGCTGGGAGATGTTACATATGTGAAAATTTTGTTAGCTACTACTGTTATGAAAATAAAAAGCCATACATGAGTCTTCAATTAATTTATAACTATATTTGCTGAATCTGTGCAACACATGATTCATTCAGTCAGTGCAACATATAAGATTGCAATTTTTTCTTCCCAGAACTGATAAAATTAATAAAAAATCTCATCATTAGGTGGGCGGATTTCTTATGACTCATGCACAGTAGGATGAGGTCTCTGAGAAAGTGCTGCTGTATTTTACCTTCATTAACATCAATCATTTATTAATGATTATTTGGTTTGCTATTCTTAGGCTTCCAAGGACTATATTGGTATGGCTGTGAAAGGTGGCCACCTCACTTGTGTCTATAACCTGGGAGACGGTGATGTAGAAATTGATGTGCAGCCATTTGTGACTCAAAGCGAAGCAGAGGAAGCCGTTATGGATCAAGTGAAGTTTGAAAGGTACAACATCCGCAGTGCACAACGGGTTTTTCTAACACCTTTTATTAGTGCAATGTGATATTTTTGCCTGCCTGTTTTGGTTTTAGGATTTACCAGTATGTAAAGCTGAATTACATCAAGGCAGCAACATCAACTTCTCCAGAGTATGGAAGCCCTGTGACTGCAAGCAGTGGAGGCAGTGACACTCTCCTAAACCTTGATCCCAGCACTGTCGTCTTTTATGTTGGAGGATACCCATCAGACTTTAGGGTACGAAATGTTGCTTGGTGTTTTAAAGAGATTTCTGTGTTAATCATTCTGTTGTTCTTACAAGTGAAGATCGGAACTAGCAGTCTTTCAAAGGCTGTGTAAAAGTTTATCCATGTCAGTAGGAATAGATGGGAAGCCAGGAGCTGCTGCTTCCTCCAGAAGCTGCCTGGCTCATGGTATGACAGAACTCAAGATGGGAGCGTGATGATATTTCATCTGCTGAGGACAGCATGAAACCTGTCCAGCTCTGCTAAGTACTATTCCTAATCCATCCATATGACTCTGCTTTAAATTGTGCTGCAGTACTCCTGGGGTGATATCAGATGGTTTGAATGTTACATACAAAGATAAAATAATTTTATGATATTTAGAATGTCATGTTCTGTGTCATTAATTTTTGCAGTAAGTCTTAGCAGTCACATGACAATGTCAAATTTTGTCAGCTGATGTTGACGGAATGTATTTGACGACACTATTTTGCAGCCTCCACGTAAGCTAGACTATCCTGGTTATGAAGGCTGCATTGAATTAGACAACCTCAACGAGCATATTGTCAGCCTTTACAACTTCAAGAGGACATTTAATCTCAATACTACTGAAGTGCAACCCTGCAGAAGGTATGATCTAAACACAGACGTGCTTCACAGTTCTGTGATTTTATCCTTACGAATCCATGTCTTTTCACATCCAGAAGGATAACCGCTGTGGCTAAACTGCTGATTTTTTCCTAACTCTTGTTCATAACTACATTTCTTAGAGCAAATCCTCAGCATTGGCATGATTCACTTCTATGGCAGTCTCAATCCACTGGCTGACAGTTTAAGCGTTACAGTACACAGACACAATTCATGGACTGATGTATTCAGCTCCTTTATAAAGTAAATACTACATTAGGTGCAAAAAAGTCAGTCACTAATTATTTGTTCTCTAAAGACCATATGCGAATCCCTATGTAGAAGTCAGTGGGTTTCTTTTTACTCAGGTTAGATCAGAATTTGGCCCTATTAGCGGCCCTGTAACACATGCTTTAATTTAAGCTTTTAAAATGACAGTAAGTCCATGGGATAATAGTTTTTTGCTCTCCTAATTCACATCTGTGACACTGGATTATTACAGGTATAAAGAAGAGACTGACCAAAGCTATTTTGAAGGCACTGGTTATGCCAGTGTCAAATTGAAGGAATCGAACACCCACAGCCAAGTACGCTACGAGCAGACGATTGAGACTACTGCAGATGAAGGCATTGTGTTTTTTGCAGCAAAGGAGGTAATTTATGGAATGCTTCTGTCTGATTTGTGGTCCAAGAACATTTTGAAGAAACTTTGCTTACTCAAGAAAGTGTTAGATTTAGTAAGGAAATGTCTTAAAGGTGTTATTTTTGTCCATGTGGCAGACAGTGAATCCTGCTGTTGTGTTTAATGTCATATGGCTTAGTTTTAGGTTTTGTCAGGGATGAGAAAAATATCATTCCAAGTAGCTCCTCCGTTGGGCCATGCAGAGAACTTGGAAATGGGGTGGGCAGGGAGGATGTAATTTGAATCAGACCAATTTTGAAATACTGAAACCCTCCAAAAGATGAAGTGCGTGCTTCCCAAATCTAGATGTGGGTGGTAACAGGGTGAGGAAGAATTTAGGAAGTGATGCGGTGATTTATATCTGTAAAAGCTGCTCAAAACAGCAGTGATGCTACTTACCTAATAATGCTGTAGGTATGTTTGCAATCACTGTGACATGTTCTGGGTAATTTCTCAATGCTGTGGAAAGTCAGTTGACATCTTGAAATGACAAGAAGTCCTCTAGGGATTTGGAGAATATGCCTGGAGCTGATACCAGATCTGTTTATAACAGTTTATTGTAATTATGGTGGTTGTTATAATAAGTCTTAGTCTGCTTTGTGTCATCTTTTCCCCAAAAAGCTTTATTGAAGCAACCAGATAGCTTCATTCAAATGATTCACATGACAGTGAAATATATATTAAATGCTGGCAGTTTAATTGTGGTGGTGTTTCATTTTTTTGGTTTTTTTTACTGCAGGATCAGTTCATCAGTGTGCTCATCAAAGATGGTCATACGGTTTTTAAATACAAAGTTGGCTCTGAGCTTCCAAAAGAAATAGAAACCAATGCAACTGTAAATGATGGAACATATAAGCAAGTATGTAATTTTACACAATTGAATGATCATTATTTGTAAAAATACACATTAGCTGAAGCTAGACTTACTGCTGTAAATCATAGAATCATAGAATCATAGAATGGTTAGGGTTGGAAGGGACCTTAAAGACCATCTAGTTCCAACCCCCCTGCCATGGGCAGGGACACCTTGCACTAGACCAGGTTGCTCAAAGCCTCATCCAGCCTGGCCTTGAACACTTCCAGGGATGGGGCATCCACAGCTTCTCTGGGCAACCTGTTCCAGTGCCTCACGACCCTCTCTGTGAAGAATTTCTTCCTGACATCTAATCTAAACCTCCCTGATTTCAATTTATACCCATTACCCCTTGTGCTATCACTACAGGCTCTTGTAATAAGTCCTCTCCCAGTACCCTTGTAGGCCCCCTTCAGATACTGGAAAGCTGCAATGAGGTCTTCTCGGAGCCTCCTCTTCTCCAGGCTGAACAAGCCCAACTCTCTCAGCCTGTCCCCATAGCAGAGGTGCTCCAGCCCTCTGAGCATCTTCGTGGCCCTCCTCTGGACTCGCTCCAAGTGGTTGTGACATTTTTCCTTTCGTGTTGAGGGGGTCAAGCTGTTGGGGATTAGTTTGGACATGGGAAAATTAATCTTCCTACCGTCTTGCTTTCCTGTGAGTTCAGTTTTAACAGAAAAACCACCAAAGAAAAAGCCTCTTTGACAGAGCATTGCTTCATTCAGGGCAAGCTGTGCACATTGCAATTTTTAACATTATTTTAATGCCTAGACTAGTGTTTTCACCACCTAAGGGTTTATTTCTTCAGGCCAGGCTGATCTTTACAAAGATTACTTTCTTGTAGTCTTCTTGTTGTTGCTTCTCTACTTAGCTTCAGTCTGGCTGTTCTGTAGCGCTACTACAGAGAAATGGTAAAGGCATTGTTAAAACCTTCGACTGCCATGTTGATTCATTCTCACTTTTCTCCTTTACTGCATCTCCAACTAACTAGTGTGGGTGGCAGGGTCTGCTTGAGGGATTCTTTGTGCTGTACCGGGTCAAGTTGCCTCCAGCCGGCTGACTGACCTGGTCTTTGTATCAGGCAGCAGCTCCTGAATCTTCACCTGCAAACAGAAGGCAGTATCTGAATGTTAGGTGAGGTGTATTTCTAGGGCTGTCATCCGTAGGAGAACAACACCTCACCTTGCATTTGGATAGTAGAGCATTTACCTTAGGTGTTTCCTTTGGCTACGTGTCCAAATTTTGCAAATTACTTTTGAACTACTGCAGTTACTCTGGATTTAAGGCACTAGTAAACAAGAGGAGGGGTGAAAAAAAAAACCCCACAGCATTGTGTCCTGCTCTGTGGGAGCACTGTTAATCTCCTAGGAGATTTTTCTGTCTGCTGAGTGAAACAATTCTCATTATTCTCCTATTTCAGATTCATTTGGTGCTTGCCCGAAGTAAGAATACTGTTCATGTCAGTCCTGATATTAAAGCCAACATAAAAGTCTTCCTTTTCACAAAGTACTATCTAGGTGGAATTCCACCTTCTCTACGGAAACGGTGAGTAACTGTAAGAAGACTGTAATACACAGGCTGTGTATGGAAACACAATCTAAACTCTTTCCTTAGGCAATTTCTTTCACACTCTGTATCGGGCGCTTTATCTGGTATGAAAATAACCCGTGTATAGCACATTATCATAATCTGTGATTTTTTGGGATCTTCATTGGGGTTTATCCTGGAGATTGGGTTTGATAGCATGAAGTATGTGTGTGCCAGAAAGATGGCTCTTGTTCTGTTTTCCTACTTCTTACATTGCCAGCATTTACAGGCTACTGTACTGGTGTGTGCTTTGAAATACCGGGCTACTGAACTCTTTTTTCCTTCCACTCCCTGAAACCAGCTTTAATATATCCACACGTCCATTCCGGGGCTGCATGAAGAACGTGAAAAACCCTAACACTGCGTCTGTTATTTTTGACGAGACTGTTGGTGTCAGCAAGAAATGTTCAGATGACTGGAAGGTAACTAACAAAGTTCCTTGAAAAGCTCTGCTGGATTTCAGAGTCTGGTTTGTCTAGAAGTCCTGGACCATTGTGTTTTACTTGGGTCAAAAATTACATCTGGATAACATGTGGTGATAATAGAAGAAACTGGACTTGATATGAAGATATGGAAGAAAGGAGGCTCTGCCCCTACTATGATACCTTGCTCCAGCACACAGTCCACCTTCTTAATTAGTACTGTGTACAACTGAGAATTCATATTTACCATGTAAACTTGTTGGCTTCCAGTTGCTGTTATTGATTAGGCCAGAATACATAGTTAATTAATACTACTCAGGATCTTTCTTCCCACCAAGGTGCTTACGCTTCCTAGTTAAATGACCTCTCAACCTTTTTTCTTGAAAGACCTAAGCAGACTCTACTTCCACTGAGGTCCCTCCTTGTTGGGCTATTGCTCCACTTATCTGAATGTTCGATAATTAATTTTCTGTGCACCCTTGAGTTTTGCCACGTTCATTTTAAAACGAGACAACGTAGTGTTTCACCAATACTGCATAGAGGGCTGAAAACTACCCTTCTGCTTCTACACAGTGCTGCTCACGTGTTGCATCATCCCATCTGCCCTTTCATCATCCCATCTGCCCTTTCGACTGTGGCATTGCACTGAAAGTTTGTGCTCTCTTGCTTTCCTTTTGTGGCATCTAAACCTTTCACAGAGAAATGTCTTTGCAGGTCGTTTCCTTGCACAGAGGATCTAACCTTCATCCTCTGCCTGTATCTGTATGACATCTCACATATTAAAACCTGTTTTGCTCAAAAAGGCCCAGGTATATATATGAGTCTGTCCTGTGACTCACACTGTTTCAGTTATGTAGCTCCTCTGCGCAGCTCCATGCTTACAAACCATAGAATCACAGAATGGTTAGGGTTGGAAGGGACCTTAAAGATCATCTAGTTCCAACCCCCCCTGCCATGGGCAGGGATAGAATGGTTTGGGCTGGAAGGTACTTTAGTGGCCAACTAGCCCATCACGCCTGCCATGAGCAGCGACATCTATGACTCCAGCTGCTCACTTTTGTGTCCCCAGATGTGAAAAACTTTCAAAGCCACCATGTCAATGCAGAGAGTAGCTGGAGATGAACAGTTCATTGTGCTCAGCAAGCCTTGTCTCCCTTTAGAGTTTCTCAGATCATAGTTAATACTGGTGAAACCAATTTGGTCGGGTTGTACTGTACTGAAATAATTGTATTTTCAGTTTGCCTCGTGCTTGGTTTTGACTGGAGTTGGTCCCAATTATGTCGAGTAGGGCTGCTGTTGTCCCATGTTGCCATTTCTGCTGATTAAAAGGGAAATCACTGAAAGCATTCTTCTCTCTCTCTCAGCTCATCAGATCTGCAGCTTTCTCCAAGAAGGGAACACTGAGCCTGAGTGCGGCGGGTTTCCCATTTCCCAAGGATTTCCAGGTTGCCTTTGGCTTTCAGACCATGGCATCAATTGGAACGCTCTTAAATTACAATCTATGGGTATGAAACACGTTCATTGTTGAACATGTGATTGGTTTTATTTCTGGATCAGTCATGTCTGTCTGTGACTCTTGTCAGTTTGACATCAGTTTGTGTTCTAAGTCTTGTGTAGATTCCTGTATTTTAAGGCAAGGAATGGCTATTATAGTCATCTTTTGAACATGGCATCTTGCATGTCATAGGCCAGAGAAATGTATCCTGGCAATTTCTTCACTCAACCAACTAGTTCGACGAATAACTGACCTTTGAAGTTGAGCCTTCTGCAGAGTGGCTCGTGCACTGTAACACCACCATCCCAGTAAGGTAACAGATGTCTAAACAGCTGTCTGGAAATTTTCTCAGGAAAAACTGGCCTTCTGCCCAAGCAGAAAAGGGGCTGATTTTGGCTGTGTTCCCTCAGAGGTTCAAGCAGAGGCCTGTTCTTGGTGGCTGAAGGGGTTAAGTGAGTGCACACCAGCCATTTGAGAAGTGGAGAACTGAAACCTGGTTTTTTAATGAAAATATTTTTAAACAAGTACTTTAAATATCTGTTTGGTATTCAGACTGCAGAGATATTTTAAAACAGGAACTACACTAATGGCATAATAGTGGGTACTAGATGACTGAGAAACGCGGTTTTTGTGTAGGAAAATTTCTTTCCCACAAGATACCACTGAGAGCTGTATTAATGGCAATATCAAGAACTCAAGGCACCTACATTTACCTGATCATTTTGTGGGTTTCTTTTTATAGCCTAATATTCTTACCATCTTTCTGAGACCTGGCTTTGTAATTGCAAAGATGGGAGAGACGGAAATCAAACTGGAAAAGAAATACGAAGATGGGTCAATGCATTATGTGACAGTAATAAAAACAGACAACACGTGAGTCCGGTGCTTTATCTCATTCTTCTATGTTGTGGCTGGAGAAAGAAGATAAAAATGTTGTGTGACTTGTCCTCTGGGTACGCAGCTAAAAATGGCCTCTGCTAGCAAAGGGTACAGAGAGAGCGGAGCAAAAGGAGATTCTTGGTCTGTGAATGCGCACGTCCGTACCTGTGACGTTTCAGCTGTACGCCACTGTGCATGTCCTTATAGATGGTGTGAGTTTTGACTGCTCATCAAGCTGGAGCTTTGGAGCTCATCCCCTTCCCACAGCCTTTGCATATGTCACTGTAAAATCAGAGCGTACAGGCCCAGGGAGGAAGCTAACATTGTGTCTGTTGTTTTCCATAATGACCTGTTACGTGGATGTCAGAAGAAACGCTTTACTGAAAAGCTCCTAAATCATACTGATTTCTGTGGAACACATAAAATGACATGTTAAAGTGGAAAGTTTTGAATGATTGGCTGTAGCTTTGGGTAATTATAACTTAATGTTACCTGTCGTAGCTGTTGCTAACGTGTCAAGTGAACCGTTTCGACACAGAGGATGAAATCCTGTCCCGTAGTTGTCAATGAGAGTTTTTTTGTGAATTTTAATTGACCAGCATTTCTCTGTAGGACTGAAATGCTAGCTTCAACTCTCTCTCAATATCTGCTGCCGAAAAGCAGAGCAGTGTCATAGCAGTCAGTGAGCACATAGTGGAAAAAATCTCAGAAGTAAGCTAACAAAGCTCTTGCATAATTACAGTGTAGCAAGAAAACATATCTGTCAAATGGTTTTTATATTTCATTTAGGTTCATAACTGTTTCTTTAGCTTTCATGCTTATGTTTATTCACTTTGTTTCAGAGTACGGCTGCTGGTTGATGATGGGTCATCATCAGCATCAATTGACTCTGCCAGAGCACAGGCGTTAGTCGAACCTATAAAATTTGGTGGAGATAATTTTGAAGGCTGCATCTCAAACATCTTTATAAAAAGGTATTTTGCCTAGAAAGAATTTTTTTTCATGTGTTTTGGTCTGTTTTCCTTCTTTAACCCCATTAAATCACTTTTTTGCTAAATTGCTGTTCTTCTACAAGCACGAAGCCTCCATGAATGCATAACTTTGCTGCCCCCAAATATTCTTTCATTGAGGTAGATTATACATGGTATCAAGTTTTAATTAAATCTGCTGTTCAGACATAATGGAATTTTGTTCTGGATCATACCTGTTTAGTAATCTTTTAATCAAAGAATGAACTCAACATAGTGGATTGGAAGTCTCCCAACAAAGCATTCAAAAAGATCTGGTAGACTGGATCATTACAGCTGCACAGGGAGCCAGGAAATAAAAAAGCAAAGTTTACCAACAGAACCCAAACAGTTACACAGACAAATGAGAGCATATGTATGGTAATCATGTGCCTGATTTATGTGGTCTCTTTGTTCACATTTGTCTGGTTATTAGAGACCGCTTACAGGCAAAGTTTAGGAGAAAAATTGTGCATAAATATGTTCTTTAAAGAGAAGCATTCCTTAAGTCACAAAGTGATGTCCCAGTGGGGCTTTGTTTTAGCTAAGTTTTGATGAATATGCATACATGTAGTTTACAAAAAAAATAGTGTCTTTTGATTTTTGTTGTCTAAGAATCACGGAATGGTTTGGGTTGGAAGGGACCTTAAAGACCATCCAGTTCCAACCCCCCTGCCATGGGCAGGGACACCTTCCACTAGATGACATTGCTCCAGTTATATCTTCATTTAAAGCACTGCAAGACAAGGAAGTAATCTGTATATAAAGCTCCCCATCAGAAAACAAATTTAGAAAATTGCTTTTAGTGTAAAAATAGATGGAGAAGTAACACTGTAGCTAGTCCGTTCAAGTGAATGGAGAACTGGACCAGAATTGAGGAAGTTCAGGTTCTATTCCCAGCTCTACCACTCTTCTCACAGAAAACCAGGGGCCTGGACCTTTATTGCTTTCTCTACTTGTGCAGTGTTTTGTAATTTGCTGATTAGACGTGCTGTGTACAACTCATGAAATGACAGTATTCCTTTATATTGTTCTTTATACACACAGGAAATTGATTTTGACAGTCTTTCTGATAATTTGGCTATAATACTAAAGCTACCTATTAAGTTGTGATGGGTTCATTAGAACATCTTATTTAAGGAGAGGGTGAGTCATTGAGTTAATGGGACCTGATGTTGCCATATTTTCTTGATCTGCCACTGGTTATGCATAATTAACCAGCAAAGTTTTGTAGTCTGATCCAGAAGTCTTATTCAGTCAAGGCTGCTCTCATTATCCCTCTTTTTTTTTCAATGGCAATGTATTTTGGGGTTTTTTTTAAATAGATAGCTTTTAGCAAGAAGAGATGAGAACCATACATCAGAGTATTTTCATAGCCAAAAAAACTGGGCAGAACCAGGACAAATACGAATACTTTTTACAGCACTGAACATTTGTCATCGAAAAATAAAAATCGGTACTTTAGCGTCAGGTCACTGGGAAATCTGTTTTGCACAGAACACAGTTTCACAATATGTTGCTGATTATGCTGAAGAAAAGGAATGCTGTGTCACAGCTCTTACTGCTTTCATCACTCTAGGGCAGGTCAGCTCCCTGAGGTTCAAAATCTCGTTAATTATACTGCCAAGACCGGTGTATCCCTCGGAGCTTGCCGCATATACGAGAAGCTTGAACCAATGCTGCTGAAGGAATTTAAAAATCCTCTCAGGTTTAGGATGCTCAAGGTAGGATTATTTTTTCTGTCACCCTCGCTCCATGTTGATGCCAAGGCTTTGTCTGCGCAGCCATGGTTTGTAGAACTGAGCTTTAGATGTTGTTATTTTCCTTCCAACTCACATCTGAAATAAGTTCTTTCTGTGGTGAAGTTCCACGCTAAACCCATACCTGTCCAGAATGACAAGAGCTTCTGTGTCATTGAGAGAAGGCTGCTGACTGCCTCGGGTGGGAACTCCTAAAGGTGTAGATTGAAATGTGGGGTTTTTTTCATGTGCGTGCATAGGAAGTGTTTTGATTCTGACTTCCCGGTACAGGATGAAAAATACCTTGATTATTTGAAAGCTGCTAAAGTGCAAAACCACCAAAACCACACTTTACCAACTCGGTTCAGTGTCAGCAGTGAAGCGTATCTCCTTGGGAACACCCCCAACAGTTTCATATCCTACAGGTTTTCTCCACCGCCATCTACAGACAGGTAATACACATGTTCTCTGCTCTTTTCCTAACGCTGAATTGTCAAAGCTGCTTGAATCTCCGGGTGCTAGGCGTTAGGATTTTCTTCTTGCTTATGTCTCGGGGCATAACAGAAGAGTGGCTCAAAAGGTTCAGGCTTTTATTTTTTTTTCCCCTGTGCTAACATTTACCCAAACTGAGTAGATGATGTAGTTGACTTGGATGTGGTGGACAATTACGGTGCATATTGATGCCAAGTCCTAAGCCTATGTCAACTTTCATTTACGCTCAGAAGCGCAGGCAGTGTAGAACAACATGACTCCACCCAAAAGCTATTCTGCATTTCACAAATGGAGTTTCACTGGCTTTTTTCTGGAGAACAGCAAGAATACAACTACTAATAAAACTGACCTATAGGTGAATATGCTTACTTCCCGCTACAGGTTACATTTTTCTGTAGATGTACGGACTCAGTCATCAAGAGGATTGATAGTTTTCATGGAGGAAAAGTCTGAGGGTTCCTATATGGCTCTCCACATTTCGAAAGGACGTTTTGTCTTTACACTTGTCTCCGGCGGAAAACGAGTCAAAATCAAAAGCAGTATCAAATACAACGATGGGCAGTGGCACACTGTAAGTAGTATGGCACAGGAATCATGGTGAAACCACAGGTAGCCTTCAGCAGGCACAATCTATCGAATTTTTAAGGTATTAGAAATTTTATTTTGGTTTTCTGAAGTTAACTCCTATGCCTGCAAGTTCACATGGTTGACAGGTGTCTGTTAGGAGAGAGGTTATGGAGACTGACGGGCCCTGCGTGTTATTTTCAGTTTAAGCATTTCAACAATATGGTGTTTAAGTTAAAGAAAAAAAAAAATCCATGTTTTTCATTGGCCTTGGGGTTTTTCATTCTCTTATGTTTGCATCCTGCAAAGGTGGTCTTCAGCACAGATGGGAAGACTGCCCGCCTTCTTGTTGATGGTCTAAGGGCCCAGCATGGAAGATTAGCAACAAATTCGGCCATCAGCATTAAGCCACCGATCTATGTGGGAGGGCTGCCATCACTGAAAAGACAGGTAAATAGTTGACACATCCACCCCTCCCCCCCGCACGCTCCCCATGCTGCACTAATTACATGTGAAAGTGTCAATATGCAGGATTTCCATGCTGAAAAGGTTTAGGGGATATTTCCAGGCACCGAGTGAGCACCATCTGTGACTGGTGTTTGCAGTTGTTCATTACAGACCTTTTTCCTCACCTGTTCACACAGCTTTCACATGGACCCGTATCTTCCACATGTGTTGCTGAGACACTGATGACAACCATGGACTGTTTTCATATTTATTCTTTAAAAAATAGAAAGACCAAAATCAAATTTATAATTCCAGGAATTCCCTTTCCCCGCAGAATATTTACCTCCGTGGGCTAAGCGATAATCTGTAGAGAAGCAAAGCAATCTTTCTTATTAAGGAATTATAAATGTAGAACTGGATTTTAATCTGAAATATATGTGGCCCTATTACTTTAAAAATTGGACAATTAATGATGCAGGGCGTTTTATAAAATCAGATTTAAACCAACAGTCTCTTGGGAAGGGTGTCCTTGAGATTTCACGACTCCTGTAGTGCTGTCTTTTTGATACGTAGAATCCTACCATAACAGCATGGTTTGGGTTGGAAGGGACCTTAAAGACCATCCAGTTCCAACCCCCCTGCCATGGGCAGGGACACCTGCCACTAGACCAGGTTGCTCAAAGCCTCATCCAGCCTGGCCTTGAACACTTCCAGGGATGGGGCATCCACAGTTTCTCTGGGCAACCTGTTCCGGTGCTTCACCAATCTCATACTGAAGAATTTCTTCATCACTGGGAAGTATCTGTTCTGCAAGAAGAATTACATTAACTCGAAATCAGCTGTTACTTTCACATTTTAAGCTCTTTTTTTTTTTTTAATTTTTGAATACCTCTTCAGTGCATCAGAGACGGGTTTTGGGTGCCTTTAGTGCCAGTTGGCTTTCTTCAGTCAAACGATACAAAAGAATTAGTGGGTATTCTTACTAAAAAAAAAAATGCCATCATGCTTTAGTATTGATGTTTTGGAATATGCTTTCAGAATATACCAACGAACAGTTTCAAGGGATGCCTGAGGAATTTTAAGATGAATGGAAAAGTCATGAACACACCTCAGCAAATCAATGGCGTACTTCCATGTCTGGATGTTCCCATAGACACGGGGATTTATTTCTTTAATGAAGGAGGATATATCACCTTTGGTAAGCTGTGTAGAGATTGTGCTCTATAGAATTATGACTTAAGTGTATATGTGTAATTAATTATTTATTTATTTTTCTTGGTGGTTTTCCAGTTATCCCCTATGATCATTCCTCTACCCGCTGTTTAATTCTCCACAGGTAATTTGCTGATGGGCTTGGATTTTAGGATTGTATTTACCATTCGACCAAGGAGTTCGACAGGTATACTCCTCCATGCTGGAAGCAAGCGAGACAACTACTTGACTATTTACATGGCAGGAGGAAAGGTAAGTAGAGGCCGTGATTCCCTGCACTGCCCTCATCCGGCAGGGGTTATTCTGGCCTTGAACTCTGGACTTGCGCGTTACAACATCTGTCTGTAGGTATAACATTAACAAGCTCTTCAGAGTTGTTTAAAACCATCCCCTGGAAAACTGAGGCTTTGAACCATCTTTGTGTCTGTGTTAGTGATTTCCAGTGTGTGCACACTAGCTTGCACATGCTTTACAGTGGTCAGCAGTAGGGAACAGTTTTCATTTTCTCAGGCTCCTGAGCCTTTGCAAAAACCCACTGGGGTTTTGGCCAGGGGCTACAGAACTGCATGGCTTATTCCCTCTCCTCCGTCAGTCATCGTGTGGCTGTACTGATGCAGCTCCCTAGGCACTTCCATTATAGACCTTGAGCAGTCTTGCTTTGTGTTGGCATCTCCTCTAGTTGATGGGTGTCTCATGGTGAGGATTGATGGCACTGTTGCCTTTCCGTAGTGGTTGCGGCTGGAGAGACATGGAATAAAAAGAATCATAGAATCATAGAATGGTTTGGGTTGGAAGGGACCTTAAAGATCATCTAGTTCCAAGCCCCCTGCCATGGGCAGGGACACCTTCCACTAGACCAGGTTGCTCAAAGCCTCATCCAGCCTGGCCTTGAACACTTCCAGGGATGGGGCATCCACAGCTTCTCTGGGCAACCTGTTCCAGGGCCTCACCACCCTCTCTGGGAAGAACTTCTTCCTGATATCCAATCTAAGCCTCCCCACTTTCAATTTAAACCCATTACCCCTTGTCCTGTCACTACAGGCCCTTGTAAAAAGTCCCTCCCAGCTTCCTTGTAGCCCCTTCAGGTACTGGAAGGTGCTATAAGGTCTCCCCGGAGCCTTCTCTTCTCCAGGCTGAACAAGCCCAACTCTCTCAGCCTGTCCCCATAGCAGAGGTGCTCCAGCCCTCTGAGCATCTTTGTGGCCTCCTCTGGCGTCGCCTCAACCAGTCTATATCCTTCTGATGTTGAGGGCTCCACAGCTGGACGCAGCACTCCAGGTGGGGTCTCACCAGAGCAGAGTACAGGGGCAGAAGCACCTCCCTTGACCTGCTGGCCACACTTCTCTGGACACAGCCCAGGATATGATTGGCTGTGCTCCACAGAACCTGCTGTCTCATGGCATGTTTTAAACCAGTATGAGCCTACCTAACTCCAGAAAGCTCTTCTCTTCCCAAGAGAAAAAGTTAGGGAACTTGGTTTTGTTATTTATCTTTTTGTAATCCGTTTAGTTTCCCCCAGAACACTGACCCGGTTCAAGACACAACTAGCACGTGGAAGCAGGGGCATCAGCAGCTGGGGACTCCTTAAAGGGAAGTTTGACCCCTTTTCTCAGTGGTAACTTAGAGTAATGCTGGATTTCAGTGCGGACGGGATGCAACAGAAAGGAATAAAAGGTCCATGGGATGCCATCCATCAGCCTGATAGGAAGTGGACTCATTGTATCAGTTTCCCCACCCTTACAAAGTTTGTTGTAACGGTCACACTGAAAGAGAGTCTGAGAGGAAGATGTTGAAAAAAGAAAGAAGGCACCCACAGGGACTGAGAAGCAGGATGTGAGAAAGCACAAGCAGGTGCTTGTTGAAAACATCAGCGTAAACAGTCCGGCTGCAAGCTCTGTGAGTGAATTACGGGCAGCCCAATGTTGTGTGCAAGGCCAGAGAAACGTATTGCAGAGATTCCCTCAGGAGATGCCGAGCGTGCAGATGACTGCTTTGGGAAAGGAAAGAGAGGCCTAGTGGGAAAGACCTCGTCTCAGAGAGATTATGTCAAAAGAATTGACATAATTCTGTAGGATTGAGGGGGAGAGACAAAGGCATGTATTTATGTTTCTAAGATTTGTCAGATAACCTCTGCTGGGATTCTGTTAGGGAAATTTACTTTCCTCTTGGAGAGGATAATTTCTGAAATATGGGTACAGTGACTGTGACTCTTAAAGTGAGGTGAAACCCCGCCACCAGAAGTGCAGTAGGCTCCTTGAAGCACGGTGTTTTTCTGCTGCTCTTGTCTTTGCCGCAGTGACTTAAAAGATAACTTTTTCCCAGGTCATTGCTTCTGGAAATAGCGGTGTTGGAGAATTCCAGACGTCAGTCACACCTAAGCACCCTCTGTCAGATGGGCAGTGGCATACGATTGCAGGTACGTTGTACGTTCCAGTTCTTCCAAAACTTCAAAAGGACAGTGGGCACGGAGTCTTGCAGCTCCTGACTTCTATGAATGGTTTCACTTCCGTTTATTCCGAGAATGCTGTTTAGCACAAGGGCAGTGTCTTGTGTCAGTTCCAGGCTTTACGCAAGACAGGGTTTGGGGGCTGTATGTAGCCCCAGAGTACCTAGATGTGTCAGCCTGACTTGGGACTAACATAACATCTGATTCTCCTGTGAGTTAAACTTCCAGATGTGCTATTTAAAAATAATGCCACGTCTAGGGGATTCTTTAACAGGGTTGAGAAAAAGTACTCGTTTACCTGCTTCCTTGCAGTCTCTCAGAAGGAGAACACGGTGCAGCTAGAGGTGGGCACACAGAGTAACTCTACCACTGGACTTCCACCCTCTCCTCCCAGACGTGTGCATCAGCCACTCTACTTCGGCAACATTCCAGGTAATATTACTGCTGCTTTTTTTCTTTTTTTTTAAATGTCTTCTGGCTTTTTTCCTTTCCAAAACAAATGTCCTGTTCATGCATGTAGTCCTGCATCATTCTCTCTCTTTTGAAAGCCTTGCAAGGATTAATGTTCTTTCAAATAATTCTCATTTTATCAACTTAATCTTTCTTCCTTGTTTTTTGTAGCAAATTTGGACACACTGTGGCTTCCGGTTAAAGACCCGTTTTTTGGCTGTCTTCGGAATATTAACATCAATAACAAACACGTCTCCACCAGGAGAATTGCACAGGTTCACGGTGTAGTGAGTCTGCAAGGGTGCCCGGCGCAGTGACTTTGCCATTCCGGCCGTTGTGCACACACCAGGTTGGCTCTGCTGAGGTACCGCCTGAATTCATGCAACGCGGGTTCCTGTCGCTGATCTCTGCGTCACTGGCTTCACACTGGTTATTCGGAACAGCTGGTGAGCAAATGCGGCCTCTGGATGTGGACTGTGCCAAGGCAAACTGAAAGTATTTGCTTTGATAAACTCCCTTTTAAACGTTCTTGGTTTCCAAGGTCATCCCTTGTGCCTTTCGGAATATACGCAGAGAGTGTAATTGTATATACCCTGCTGGGCCCAATTCTGCTCTCGCCCACGACAGCAGGGACTTGAGTAACTCCATTGTCTTAATTTTGGAAATTTGCCTTAATGCTGGTCATCTTGAGAGCAAATTTGATCCACTAATATAAAGAATTTTATGAAAAACTATAAATCTCATCGGATTGATGTCTATACAGAAATGTACATTAATGTTTAAAGTAATAATAATAATATAAATGGAGTTTAAAGCACTTTAAGGAGTGAAACTTTGGGAGTTTGTTACAATGCTAGGAATTCTGGGGCCAAATAAATGCATTAAGTTCTTCAAACGAGAAAATGGATGGTTTGGTTATGTTAACCTGGTGTTTCTTCTGAGTGATTTTTACAGGCTGCTGCTATATCCTGCTTGCTTCATGCAAATATTTCTGTAGCTTTAAGAAGCTCATTTGCCTGAATAAGCAGGAGTCCATCACTTCTGCTTATTAGTATTTGGTCATGAAAGACCTGAGAAAAAAGGGTAATTTTCCTTGTAATCTTCAGAGTCAGAAAGTCTCCTCTGTAGGCTTTTTTTTTTTTCTGATTAAATGAAGAAAAGTTGTATTAGCAACAGCAGTTGCATGTGCTACAGTGACGTAGCATGAATTGCAGGACTAAGTCAGCAAAACTGTTATTCTCTGACACTCCAGTCTTTCCTTTGTACCTGCTTGTGACCCACGGGGGAGGGTGGGGGACCCAGTTTGCTTTATTCTCCTGGGTACAGCGGTGGACTGAATACACTTGACCTGGCTTCCTCTTCCACTAACTCTCCGAAGCAGCATTTTGAGAGTTACTTTCCCTCCCCAAAACCCTGATGCCAGCCCTCTTTTGCAAAATTAAAACACTTTCTAAGGCTGGTCCTAGGCGGGAGTGGCCAGTGATGCAAACAAACTCCCCTTCCCACCTTCCCCTGCCTCCTTGCCCAAGGTGCAGCAGCGTGTCCTCGGTGTGTTTGGAATGAGGTGCTGGCTGGATTAACGGAAGATACCAGGCCAATAGCCCTTTTGGCTTTGATCATTAATCCCTCATCAAATTTTTGCAGCCTTGCAGGTCCTTTTCAGGGTGGCAAAGGTGTCAGAAAGCTGTTCGCACCAAATCCTGCGTCGCTTTTTCTGCGGCAGTTCTGTTACAGGCAAAGCTACATCCCTGCAGAGCTTTCGGGGCTACTTCTGGAGGGAATGGGGTGCAGCAGAAGTGTGCCGGGGTGGAGGCCTCGCAGGGAGCGGAGGGCTGGCTCGTCAGGGCAGAGCCGTCTCTCTGGAGATGCTCTGTGGAAAGAGCCCCTCCTGCACGGCTGCCTGCTGCGTGGGACAAAAACACCCCTCGGCCTAGAGGCGGTGGGGGTTGGAAATCAGTTTTTCTTTCCACGTGTAAAGGCCCCTGCCTTCGAAGCAGGTTGTCAGATACTCAGGTGGCCAAAACGGTGGAAATACTGTGGATTTACTGGCCTTAGTTGGCACGGAAAATTTCCACAAGGAGAAAGAACAGTTCAACTTTATCAGGTAATTCCCTAGCAACAATTCCTATCTAATGCCCGCCAGACTGCTCTCTGAAGCAGATTTTCCCTAGTCCCAAAAAAAGCCTTTTCCTTCTTCCCTTCCCCCCTCAGAAAAATCAAACCTGACAACGATTTTTGCATCACAACCTGGAGCCAGTCCTGGATTTTAATTCCCTTCCCTCTGTTTTTATTTTACCAGAGGGAGTTTTAATGCTGACAAGAAGAAATGCAAAACGTATAAAGACTTGAGCAAATGCAAGTTATAACGATGAGTACTAATTCCAGCGCCATTCGAATGCATCATAAAAAAAAGCAGAAGGGTTTTTCTGGTTTTAAGGTTCTTGGACATTGTTTTCCCATCCCTGTTTCTTCTGCTGTATTGCCTCCATAGGGCCAGGCTGTCTCACCCTGTCGGGACAAATGACACCAGCCAGCTAGCGTTTCAGGTTTTGTGCGTTAACATCGATAAATCTGTATCGGGCTGATAAACCTTTAGTAAGAAGCTTTTTGACCCAGAAGAGTCAGTGGGTTTTCTTTACCTGGGGACAGAAGGTGTCCTGTTGAGATCAGTCTGATGAAGAAGGCTCACGGAAGAAATCCACACGAATGCTGAACTGTATTTCATGCGTTGTCTGTTTTGTGCTTAGAATATTCTGAATTTTCTCACATGGGAAACATCTCCTGGTAAACAAAAGCCTGAATTTTCAAGCATTTCAAGTCATGAATGGTAGATGTAATTTCAGTCGTGCAGGTTCCTTCTCTTCGGGTTCGCCAGGAAAGATCTTTGTTAAAGTCAAAATAAACAATTCCCCCAATACATTTTGTAGCGGACCAGAAGTAACTAAATCTTGTGGTAAGATGAGATGTTATGAGAATAAATAGCAACGTGAGTATTGGGTAAAGAATAAATAGGAACATGAGCCTTAGGTAAACACTTTGTCATGGGCGTTTCTTGTTGTTACAAGTAATATTTCCAAGGCTTCCGTCATCCGAGTGTTGACATTTGACAGTAACTTCAGTGGATTATTTACCTCTCTTGGCTATAGTGTTCCAAGTGAACTCCCAACCCTATGGATTCCCATGTTAGAATAAGAGTAAATAACTCCCACAGGATAGGATTTCCCTGTATTTTTTTTTTAATTCTCTAGTCATCTTTACTATTCACTATTCAAGCCTTTAACTGATATTTTCAATGGTAAAAAACTTGCAGCCCCAGTCATCCTTTCTGAGCCTGCTTTATTACTCATTGCTTCTGCTCAAGGGTGGAAAACTACTACAGCTTGCATTTTGCTTAATTCACCTTAAAATCAAAAGGAACGACCCAAGAAATGCATATGTCTGCCGGCAAGGGTCTGCTAAACGGTTTGTACCTCTTGAAATTCAGGCTTATGGGGAAAGTTTTGAAAAGTTTAAGGAGAAAGGATCCAACGTGGTGTTCAGTACACTGAGAGTGCATGGCCTAAAACCCACGCTCTGTAGTGGGGTGTTGGGATTTAGCCATAACGGTTCATCTGAATCCCAAATCAATTCCATAAGGAGAGCAGATTTCCTTTCTAGACGAGACCACACTGGTATTGCTAGTGCCAAATCTCCCTTGTCCATACATTACAAGGGCAAAGGGTTCTTCTCCAGTTGATTTGGGTTGGAGTTAATAGGGTCGTGTTACGTGAGGTGGATGACACCGAGGTCCGTGAGTTGCCATTTATTATAACTACAGAACACGGATTAATGGGAGCTGAAAGACAGTTGGGAAGCCTGACACTGAGAACAGCAGGCAAATAAAATGAAATAGATCACAGGGCACTGTAGGAGGAAATACTGAATCACAGAATGGTTTGGGTTGGAAGGGACCTTAAAGACCATCTAGTTCCAACCCCCCTGCCATGGGCAGGGACACCTTCCACTAGACCAGGTTGCTCAAAGCCTCATCCAGCCTGGCCTTGAACACTTCCAGGGATGGGGCATCCACAGCTTCTCTGGGCAACCTGTTCCAGCGCTTAACATTCACTATAGAAATGTTATAAAAAAAAAAAAAGTATATATATACAAGGAAAACATCTCTCCTTTACCCTGCTTATAAATGGTACTGTAACTTACTTTCCAATGACAAAAACTTCCAAGTGCAGCTCCTTCAACAGTCTTCCTGTATGTGGGCTTGAAGGTCTGTGCTTTTGTTACTGTGGAGCTTTCACGTAAAACACGGAGCCGTCAGCCTTTCGCTCTGCCAGCAGCAAAATGAACTGGGGGAGTTAACTTTCTCTGGCCCTTCAACCACTCCTTTGGAGTCACCTATGAGCTGTTCCATTTTAGCTCTCCCTCCTGCTAGTAGCTTTCCCCTCTTTCGGAGCCCTTTGTGAATTATCTGGGGCTTTTTCTCCCCTCTGCTTCCCTTCTGACCCCCATAAAATAGCCTGGGAAATGCGGTCTTTACTGAGAACGCTATGAATGCATTATGGCTTTGCAATGAACTCTTGCCATGCTTTTTGCCTCTCACCATGCTCTTTGTGGTTTCCTCATTTAAAAAAAAAAAAAAAAAAAAAAAAACAAACCAAAAACTTCTGCATCTTTCTCTAGTGAAGTAAGGAAATTTAGGGCACGACGGTCCAGCCTCCTGCAAATCTGTCTGTAGTTTCTAAAAATACATTAAGTGGATGTCCCTGGCAACAGGAACTGCTTTACGCTGACGCGGGTAGTGCCACAACACGATGTCAGAGCTTCACTGAAGGCATTAAGACTGCGAGGCATAAGCATAAACCTCCTTTGTGCAGCCGGCCTGGACATCTCAAACCTGCAAGAGGCTGATCGTCACTAGAGCCACAATGAAGCATCCTCGGAGTAGGAAGAATTGCGAGCAAAACAAGCAGTGAGTCCTTACGTGCTCCCTGTCAACTTTGGAGATCCTCTCCAGTGATGAAACCAAATGGTGACCTGTCGGCCACACCACGCTGTGTCTCCTGGTTCAGAATGCACCAGATGCTTTTCAAACACACTCCTTGCATTACTTAATCACTGCGTTTCCTACAGGTGGTTCTGAACGTGAAGCGTGGGTGAGACGTCCTGTGAGACGCAGCTTCTTTGTTAGGATGTCACCCGCTCGCTGATAAAGATTGAGCGCTGCGGCGTTACTGCTCGGAATAAAAAGACGGATAGTCGCCATCGTGATCTTTTGCTTCTGCTCACTTATGTT